ATTCGGATATATCTTGACTCAAATTGAAATTTGACAAAGAAATGAACCTCAAATTGCAGAGTCCTCCAAATGATTTTGGAATCGGACCTTGCAAGCTATTGAGACCAAATGAACTTAGTGAAGGTACTCAGATGGCTAAATTTATACAACCAATTGGGAATTGAAGAGCGGAAATAGTTATCAGAAAAATCAATATGTTAAGAGCACTCAATTTTGAAGTCCATGAGGGATTGGACCTTGAAGAAGATTATGACTGAGGTCAAGATACTGCAAATTGGAGAGATTTCCAAATTCGTGAGGAACCCTTCCTTCAAATCCAGTTTGAGAGAGATTAAGATATCTCAAGTTCTCAAAGAGCCAAGAAATGTTGGAACCTCAATTCTTGACTAAAGTTATTACCGCCTAAGTCCAAGTAATCAAATGCTTAAAATCAAGCAAAGAAGGACTTATCTTACCAACCAACACGACTTCGGATCAGTGCATCGGAAAAAAATTGCATTGAAAGGATTCCTGAGGTGAAGTTCCAGGATTGGCCTGTAAGTTGTCGCAGACAACACCAGCCCTGACAACAGTCTCCCTCACTCTAATCCAAGAGGCCAGACGGTTGGAACGATCTTCGAGACCTCGCTTGAACCTTAAAAGTGCTTGTCGCTCAGTTTCAATGCAAACCACATCAGAACTTCCATTGCAGAAGCTAGTTTCAGTGGCAGTATGGCAAGCAAAAGGACAATGAAAGTTGTAGCTCTCATGGTTGAATTCACTATCATGGATGGATGGATGCACTTCTAAATGGAAATTATACATAAGGAAATGAGGGTGAACATTAGATATATAGTGGAACTCTGTTATTGCACAGGGTCCCTTTGGTGAGAATTCAAAAATAATTTTTAACATTTTTGGAGATCCATTTCATACAATAATAAAAACTGTTTTTTTAATCAAAAACATAAAAAAGGTTGAAAATTATTTATTTCATAATAATTATTAGATAAACATTTTGAAAATATTCAAGTCATTTTAATCAGAAGTATTTTTATATTTTTTTATAAAGAAAATCGTTTTAGAATTCTATACGAACAAATTCTATGTGTTTCCACGAAATTACTTGGTTAAACTTTGCACCAGCAAACTCAAAGTATTAAGGAGTGGAAGTCAAGGAAGACCCTTGTTCTTCAAGTCTTGCTGACTTCATTTTCTGTATTGAATTAAAAGATATTATGATAATGTTTTTTAAGTGAAAATTGTACAATTCTCATAAATGAAACATATATTTGTATAAGTAGAGCTTTGCAAAATCACCTCACTATCATATAAATTGAGTTCAGAGAGAGATGTAGAGATCAATAAATTGTAATTTGGAAATTAAGGGGAAAAAAAAAAAAACATGATAGCAAGTCTTGCTGACAAATGCGTGTTGGAAATTAAGTTTGTTCTCGTTTTGATAGTAAAAAAAACTACCACTTGACAATCACATGAATAAAGAGTTATAGACATTAAACCCGTCGTGTGGACATGGACTTTCTGTCTCTAACATACTAATTAATCACGCACCTGTTTACACAGAATATACGTGTCATATGGGTGTGACTTTCATCTCAACATAAGAAATTAACACGCAAAGCCATGCCCGCCGCGATTGGCTACACAAAAGCAATCAAAGTTGTTCTCATGGTTGAATTCACTATCATGCCTGCAATTCTAAAGAGAAATATACAAAGGAAATATGTAGTGTAACTCCACTATTGCTTTGGGGTCTTTTTTATTGTCCTATAACTGTAATGGGTAGCTAAAGGGCTACAAAGCCAAGATGAAAATAAGTAAAAAAATAAGCGAATTTGATTTGTGGTTGGTGATAACTTTTGACTTCTACGATATAGAGTAACAAGTTTTTCTCAGAGTAGTTGATGAGTCGAATCAAAGGAAGACTAAAACTAACATGGTAGACCTTTCATCTTCAGGTGTTGCTGTCTTCTTCGTATTAAATAATTGGTTGTTTTGAACCTTCTACTGTCTTTAACTTGTTCTAGATATCTGTAATAGTTAGTTTATATTTGAATGGTGTTGTAATATTTGGCCTTGATGAAATATGGAAATTTATATTGTGTGGAATGAAGGTTGTAAAGAGGGTAGTGATGAGAAGAAAAAAAAAAAAAGATGGAGATGAATTAACAAAACATCACTAAGTATATAATAACTAATACGTACTAAATTTGATCAAAATACATAGAAAAAATATGTCTATCAACTTTTACAATCCTGGCACTGCATTTGAATAAACCTTGCTCATGCTATTGGTGGCATTCATTGTTCGAATCTGCCAAGTAAGTAGACATCTCCCCTCTGCTGACAGAACAAGAACAAGAACAAAACTTTGTATTTAGGAGGGTATTAAAAAAAAAAAAAAAAAAAAACCAGGTTTTGAAATATTTCAACTTCGACCAAAAATATTTTTAACAATATTCAATAAATTATTTGTTGTTTCCAGAAATTACTTTGATTATAACTTTGCACCGGCAAAACTCAAAGTGGTTTTGAAATTAAGTAAATAAACGGTTGGAAATTAAATTTGTTCTCCTCTTAATAGTAAAATGACACAACATATCCCAAAGACTTGACATATACAATGAGAGAGTAAACGACTATTCCCACCCAAGGTTGACGAAATCCCAAGTTAGTACCCAAGTTTCATATTCCTAGATTCCCACCCTTAAAATAACATTGTTAACATTTTTTAGGATAGTGAGGGGGCAATTTATAATGCCCTTTAACCCTAAATTAATAAAATTATTTTAACCCCTAAATTACTAAAATTATAAAATTAACACCATTATTTTGAAATTACATCAATACACCTCAGTGGATGTGCACCATCTCGGTTTTATCGGATCTGGGCTATTTTCGATGACGAAGAAACCCTTGGTCACTGTTCCAATTCCTTCCAATTTGCAAACAAAAAACACAACAAATATGCCCTAAATTCAAGCTTAAATTCGGCCAAATACACTAGAGGAGGCAATGTCACACTTACTTGCAATTTTGGGTTAAGACAAGTAGAAAACACTTCAAGCATAAAGGAATTCTCCACAACTTGAATTGATTCACACCAAATCTCTGCAAGACTGGATAAAGAATACACACAAGAACACAAAATTCTCTCAATGGTTAAACCAAATTTGATATTTCATAAAAACTAAGAAATACAAAGGAGAATAGTTCCTTATATAGGCAATACAAGGCTAATTAGGTAATCCACAAATACAATACAAGATATAAAATTAACAAAAACTATATATGTTTGTATAGGTAGAGCTTTGCAAAATCACCTCACTATCATATAAATTGAGTTCAGAAAGATGTGACAGAACATATAACTTGTAATTTTGAAATTAAGTTGAAAAAAAAAAAAATGCTAGTCAAGTCTTGCTGATAAATGCGTGTTGGAAATTAAGTTTGTTCTCGTTTTGATAGTAAAATAAAATGACCCACCATTTCTCCAAACACTTGACATATCACATGAATAAAGACGATTATAGACATTAAACCCGTCGTGTGGACATGACTTTCTGTCTCTAACATAGTTAATTAATCGCGCATCTGTTTACACAGAATATTAAACGTGTCATATGGGTGTGACTTTCATTCTCTAACATAAGAAATTAATCACGCAAAGCCATGCATGCCCGCGATTGGCTACACAAAAGCAATCAAAGTTGTTCACATGGTTGAATTCACTATCATGCCTGCACTTCTAAATAGAAATTATACACAAGGAAATATGTAGTGTAACTCCATTATTGCTTTGGGGTCTTTTTTTATTGTCCTATAACTGATAATGGGTAGCTAAAGGGCTACAAAGCCGAGATGAAAATAAGTAAACAAATAAGTGAATTTTATTTGCTGGTTGGAGATAACTTTTGACTTCTTACGATATGAAGTAACAAGTTTTTCTCAAGGGTAGTTGATGAGTCGAAATCAAGGAAGACTAAAACTAACATGGTAGACCTTTCATCTTCAGGTGTTGCTGTCTTCGTTTTCTGTGTTAAAATAATTGGTTGTTTTGAACCTTCTAACTGTCTTTAACTTGTTCTAGATATCTGTAAATAGTTAGTTTATATTTTGAATGGTGTTGTAATATTTGGAAGCTTGATGAAATATGGAAGTTTATATTGTGTGGAATGAAGGTTGTAAAGAGGGTAGTGATGAGAAGAAAAAAAAAAAGATGGAGATGAATTAACAAAACATCACTAAGTATATAATAACTACTAAGTATTAAAAATTTGATCAAAATACATAGAAAAAATAATGTCGGTATCAACTTTTACAATCCTGGCACTGCATTTGAATTAAACTTATAAAGTAGGCCTTGCTCATACTCATGTACTCCAGGAGTTACAAGCATAAATCACACTGAACTCCCAGGAAATTCACATTAACAACACAAACAAAATAAAATCATCTTTCATCGATACTTCTTCTTCAACAAAATGGGATAGATAGTGAAGGGTTACGCCCCTGGTTTATGGTAATATGTGCATCACCGGCCAGCGCTGCCTATCACTCGGTGGTGTGTGAAGCAGCAATTCGACAACGCAACGCACCTAATTAACTGCACTGCGATGATGAACAAAAAGCAATTCCACAACCAAACAAAGACCTGATTGTTAGCATGTTTTATATTTGAACCTTCATCAGCAAGCTATAATAAACATTAAATGATATATTTTCCAAATTTTTGATGAAAATTTTCAGTTTGTTTTGTGCTTTTCTAACTTTGTCGCTGTCAATAGACTCCGAGAGTTCAATGACCAATGAAAAACTGATTAACAAAATCAAGAATTTATGTGCAAGTTTCACATTAGCTTGCAACCTTTTCAAGCATAAAGAAAGTATAGTCCCTCTGTTTATTGCACAAAGAAAGGATAGTCCCTTCTTTTATTACAATACTTCATTTGATGATTAAAGTACAGAAAATCATACTACTCCAAAAGATAAATCTATATCTAGCAACATTTTTTTACAACACTACAAAGCTTATTGCCAAGGCGATCCAGGAAACTACAATACATGTACCTCCATCTTCTGTTGACGAGTAGAGGACCAATGAAACTCCAGAAGCCCATCACAAATCCAAGTGTCATGCTTACATAGAACCAGTTCACTTCATTACCATCTTTTTCTCCTTTGTTTTCAAAATCAGGTGTTGGAACAATCTCCGTACAGTTCTGAAGAAGTGGGGATCCACAAAGTTCATTACCATCAAAACAAGATGCATCGAAACTCTGAATTTGAGTGCTTAAAGGAATTTTTCCCTTCAAGTTGTTATTGGACAAGTTCAAATGACTCAAGAAAGTCAATTCTGAAATACTTTGTGGGATTTCACCCGACAACTGGTTTGTAGAGAAATCAATGGATTCTAATGATCTCATAACACCAATCTTCTCTGGAATTCTTCCAACAAAAAAGTTGTGCGATAAATTCAAAGACTGCAATGCTTTGAGATTTGTCACTTCTGTTGGAATCTCTCCAGAGAAATTATTGCTAGAAAGATCAATTAACCTCACCAAATTAAGGGTGTTGTCATATTCGGCCCCTTGCCCTTTCAAATTTAGTGGTTCATAATCAGCAATCCCTCCTATGTAATCAAGAAAATATGGTATATTGTTCCTTGCAAAGTAGTCCACTTTCACCATGGCGCTGAAGTTACTAATACATCTCGGTATAGTTCCAGAGAGATTGTTGTAAGCAATATCCAGAATTTGCAAGGAAGTAATGTGACAAAGTTGTGATGGTAAAGGACCATGAAATTTGTTTGAACGAAGGTTGAGAATCAACATATCTGAAAATCTTTCTCCCAACCACATTGGAACATGTCCCACGAATTCATTTTCACCAACATCAAACACTTCCAGCCATGTACAATTTAAGATTGAGTCTGGAATTGTTCCAGAGAGACTGTTTTTGCGAAGATGCAATGACTCAATGGAAGTTAAAGTTCCCAGGGAGACTGGAAGTTTGCCAGTGAATTTATTATTCTCCAAATTCAAGTAAATCAAAGAGGGCCAATTCATCCAACAATCGGGTAGTTCTCCTGACAAAAGATTATCTCTAAGACGTAGAATGGTTATTCCGGCTGACCCATTAACATGACACAAGAATTGAGAAATTGATCCAGACAAGGCATTATCAGAAAGATCCAGTTTTTTTATACCAGAAGGCATATGAGGCAAAGAACCTGAAAAATTATTTGAACTCAAGTCGATTGATGATCCATGGGGAATCACACCAAAATTTAGAATCTTCACTGAACTTGGAATCTCCCCATGGATTTGGTTGTGAGAAAGATTTAAGAAAGTTAATTGTGAAGCAAATTTCCAAAACCAATTGGGAACGGTGTCTACAATTCCTGTGTTAGATAAATCTAGATCTGTTAAATTCTTGAGCGAATGAAACCAAAATGGAAATTGAGGCTCTAAATGACAAGATGTCAAACGCAATGTTTCAAGTTGAAAAGGAGGAACCCAATCATAATTCAGTTTCAACACAATTGAGTTCTGTGATATAACCAAATGGGTAAGTCTGGTGAGATTGGAAAAATGACTTGGATGAAGTGTGCCATTCAATTTGTTCCAGGAAAGATCTAAAACTGTCAATGATGAAAGTGCTCCTAAAGATGAAGGAACTGGACCATTCAGTTCGTTATTTGAAAGATCTAAATCTTTTAAGGATGAAAGTGCTCCGAAAGAGGATGGAATAGAACCATTCAGTTCGTTATTTGTAAGATGTAAAACTTCCAAGGATGAAAGTTCACCTAAAGATGAAGGAACCTGACCATTCAATTTGTTATTCGAAAGATCTAAATCTTTCAAGGATGAAAGTGCTTCTAAAGAGGATGGAATTTGACCATTCAGTTTGTTATTTGAAAGATCTAAATCTTTCAAGGATGAAAGTGCTCCTAAAGCGGATGGAATTGGACCATTCAGTTTGTTATTTGAAAGATGTAAAGCTTCCAAGGATGAAAGTGCTCCCAAAGAGGATGGAACTGGATCATTCAGTTCATTATCATAAAGATTTAAAACTTCCAAGGATGAAAGTTCACCTAAAGATGGTGGAACTGGACCATTCAGTTTGTTACCTGAAAAATCTAAATCTTTCAAGAACGAAAGTGCCCCTAAAGAGGATGGAATAGAACCGTTCAATTCGTTATTTGAAAGATCAAGAACTTCCAAGGATGACAATTCTCCTAAAGATGACGGAATGAGACCAGAGATGGAGTTCAGCGTTAGAGAAAGAGAGCCCAAATTTTTATATTGCCCGAACTGATTGTTCAGATGACCAAAAAGACGAGTCCCCCCCAAAAGCAATGACTCTAGCTTATTTGAAATACATCCTGAAAAAATATTTAAGATTTCGGATATATCTTGACTCAAATTGAAATTTGACAAAGAAATGAACCTCAAATTGCAGAGTCCTCCAAATGATTTTGGAATCGGACCTTGCAAGCTATTGGGAGGTGAACTTTGTGAAAGGTACGGTGAACTTAGTGAAAGGTACTCAAGATGGGTAAATTTATTCAACCAATTGGGTATTGAAGAGTTGAAAAAGTTACCAGATAAATCAAGATGTTTAAGAGAACTCAAATTTTGAAGTCCATGAGGGATTGGACCTTGAAGAAGATTATGACTGAGGTCAAGATACTGCAAATTGGAGAGATTTCCAAATTCGTGAGGAACCCTCCCTAGAAATCCAGTTTGACAGAGATTAAGATATCTCAAGTTCCTCAAAGAGCCAAGAAATGTTGGAACCTCAACTTCTTGACTAAAGTCATTACTGCCTAAGTCCAAGTAAATCAAATGCTTAAAATCAAGCAAAGAAGGACTTATCTTACCAACCAACATCGAGTCCTGCAGTTGAAGTTTCAGGATATGGCCTGTAAAGTTGTCACAGACAACACCAGCCCACTGACAACAGTCTCTATCACTGCTATTCCAAGAGGCAAGACCGTTGGAAGAACCATCTTCGAGACCTCGCTTGAACTTAAGAAGTGCTTGTCGCTCAGTTTCAATGCAACCCACATCAGAACTTCCATTGCAGAAGCTAGTTTCAGTGGCTGCTATGGCAAGCAAAACGACAATGAAAGTTGTTGCTCTCATGGTTGAATTCACTATCATGGATGGATGGATGCACTTCTAAATGGAAATTATACATAAGGAAATGAGGGTGAAACGTTGGATATATAGTGGAACTCTCTGCTATTGCACAGGGTCCCTTTGGTGAGAATTCAAAAATAATTTTTTAACATTTTTGGAGATTCATTTCGTACAATATTTAAAAACTGTTTTTTTAATCAAAAATATAAAAAAGAGTTGAAAATTTATTTTATTTCATAATAATTATTAAGATTGTAACATTTTGAAAATATTTCAAGTCATTTTAATCAGAAGTATTCTTATAATATTTTTTTTTTATAAATGAAAAATCGTTTTAGAATTCTATATCGAATAAATTCTGTGTGTTTCCAGGAAATTACTTTGGTTATAACTTTGCGTCGGCCAAACTCAAAGTAGTTGACCCTTGTTCTTCAAGTCTTGCTGACAAATGCGTGTTGGAAATTAAGTTTGTTCTCCTTTTGATAGTAAAATAAAATGACCCACCATGTCTCCATACACTTGACATGTCACATCAATAAAGAAGATTATAGACATTAAACCCGTCGTGTGGTTAATTAAATCACATACCTGTTTACACAGAATATTAAACGTGTCATATGGGTGTGACTTTCATTCTCTAACATAAGAAATTAATCACGCAAAGCAATCAAAGTTGTTCTCATGGTTGAATTCACTATCATGCCTGCACTTCTAAATAGAAATTATACACAAGGAAATATATAGTGTAACTCCATTATTGCTTTGGGCTCTATTTTTATTGTTCTATAACTGATAATGGGTAGCTAAAGGGCTACAAAGCCAAGATGAAAATAAGTGAATTTGATTTGTTGGCTGGTGATAACTTTTGACTTCTTATGATATGAAGTAACAAGTTTTTCTCAAGAGTAGTAGATGAGTCGAAATCAAGAAAGACTAAAACTAANAACGACAATGAAAGTTGTTGCTCTCATGGTTGAATTCACTATCATGGATGGATGGATGCACTTCTAAATGGAAATTATACATAAGGAAATGAGGGTGAAACGTTGGATATATAGTGGAACTCTCTGCTATTGCACAGGGTCCCTTTGGTGAGAATTCAAAAATAATTTTTTAACATTTTTGGAGATCCATTTCATACAATATTTAAAAACTGTTTTTTTAATCAAAAATATAAAAAAGAGTTGAAAATTTATTTTATTTCATAATAATTATTAAGATTGTAACATTTTGAAAATATTTCAAGTCATTTTAATCAGAAGTATTTTTATAATATATTTTTTTATAAATGAAAAATCGTTTTAGAATTCTATATCGAATAAATTCTGTGTGCTTCCAGGAAATTACTTTGGTTATGACTTTGCGTCGGCCAAACTCAAAGTAGTTGACGGAGTGGAAGTCAAGGAAGACCCTTGTTCTTCAAGTCTTGCTGACAAATGCGTGTTGGAAATTAAGTTTGTTCTCCTTTTGATAGTAAAATAAAATGACCCACCACGTCTCCATACACTTGACATGTCACATCAATAAAGAAGATTATAGACATTAAACCCGTCGTGTGGTTAATTAAATCACACACTTGTTTACACAGAATATTAAACGTGTCATATGGGTAACTCCATTATTGCTTTGGGGTCTATTTTTATTGTTCTATAACTGATAATGGGTAGCTAAAGGGCTACAAAGCCAAGATGAAAATAAGTGAATTTGATTTGTTGGCTGGTGATAACTTTTGACTTCTTATGATATGAAGTAACAAGTTTTTCTCAAGAGTAGTAGATGAGTCGAAATCAAGAAAGACTAAAACTAAGATGGTAGACCCAACCACCAAAATTCTCAACGATCTTCCTTTTTCAAAAACCCCAATAGTTTAGACTGATTTTACTTTATGTTCGTCGTCAAAATATAAATTTAAATAGTAAAGTGATATTTTAAAAACTATGAGTGAAAAAATATCATTAAACCATTATTTGAGTGAGAAAAAGTCTTTTAACTCTGTTCTATATCAAATAAATTCTAGTGTGTTTCCAAGAAATCATGGTAGACTTTTCTTCTTCCATGTCATTAAAGGATATTATCAATCAATGTATGATAATGTTTTATAAAATTATAAGAAAAATAAATATAAATTACAAAATAACTTAAAATTAAGGGAACAAAATATTAATGGAGATGATCAGATCTAACATTTTTGTGAGGATAAAAATGGTATTTGAGAAGTGGACAATTTATATAATTTTAAATATTTTAAGTTAAAAAGCAAATTTATATTTAAATAATAATAACTTAAAAAGTGTTTTAGGGTTTTTATAATAATTATTAGAAGAAGAAAAAAGTTATTCTATTCCTGAAAATGAAACTGGTTTGGATATGCAGATCTTTGTAAAGTCATCTGACAAATGCGCGTTGGAAATTAAGTTTGATAGTGAAATGATCCAACATGTGTACACAGACTTTACATGTCAAATGACTATGGAAATATTATACACGTTATGTCTCTTTCTCTAACGTAGGAAATTAATGCCTCATTTGACATTTATAAATTAAATCTTCATTGGAAGAGTAAGGAACCTCAGTCCTAGTCCTAAGACTTTATTATACAGACAATTATTGATTAGTTTTAAAAATGAACGATTGTAGGACATTATATTACTGTAAGAATGCATTAATTATGGTATTGATGTTTTCCTTCCACCTAAGTATGAGTTCAAACCTTTAGATGTGTAATACAATCTTAAATAGCAAGAATGGCTCAAGCCCCATAGTAAATTAAGAACATAAAACATAAAACATAATCAAGACTTAAAGGAGTGTATATATAGAACCTAAATGAAATAAAAAACTTGTAAACAGAAATTATACAAAAAGGAAATAAGCATGTTAGATATATAGTGCAACTCCATTGTTCAACTCTTGCTTTAGGATCCATTTGGGTTGTAATCCAAAATTAAGTTGTAATTAAAAGATCGAAATCTGTATATCACTAATTTAAATTTCTGCTGATGTAAGTGACTTAATATTCAAACAATTATTTCACAGATAAAAATAATGTATAAAAAAAAAAGGGATTTTGAAAATTTTCAAGTAACTTCGACTAATAATATTTTCATAACATATATATTTATATATAGAAAAACACTATGCTTACTCACGACTTGTACTAACTCCCTTACAACCTTTGTTAAAATTTTACATGGTACCCGTACTATGCGTATAGTACCAGTACTATGCGTTATATTTACAAAGGATAGTAAGATGGTTAGTAAGATGGTGAGTAAGTATAGTATGGTTCTTATATATAAGCGAAAAATCATTTTAAAATTCTATATCAAATAAATTCTTTGGGTGTTTCCAGGAAGTTACTTTTAATTTTGCACCGGGAAAACTTAAAGTAGTTGACGAGTGGAAGTCAAGGTCCTCAAGGAAGACTGGTAAACCTATATTCATGGCAGACCCTTTGTCTTCAAGTCCTGCATTTTAGTCAAAGTCATCTGATGCGCGTTGGAAGTTAAGTTTGACAGTGAAATGACCCAATATGTGTACAAAGACTTGAAATGCCAAATGTATGTGGAAATATTATACACGTTATGTGGGAAATTAATGCCTCGTTTGACATTTATAAATTAAAACTTTAAGGGTCAAGATTTTACATTTAATTTTCTCTCACATAAAATAGCATTTAATCTAAAGAACTGACAAAATAAAAAACCTAAATTTTTTAGAAAAAAAAAAAAAAAAAAACTCAAAACAAACTATAATTATTATTATTTTTTTAATAACATACCGAATTATTTTAGAAATTTTATAATAAAATAAGCTGTGTTGTTGCCTTTTCAGTATCATAGAGTTTTTATAATAAAAATTCAAATGAAATATAAGTATTATAATAAAAATTCAAATGAAATATAAGTAATATTACGCTTACAAAGAAATTTTACAAAGATCTTCGTACAAAATGATGTGGTAAAAAAAGAATGGAATAGTGAATTTAATGAGTTTGACTTTTTATTTTACTATTCCATTCATTTTTGTCACCTCACTTTGCGTGGAAACCTTTGTAAGATTTCTTTGTCAGTATAGTATTATTGATAAAACATATGGGGAAAACAAATGTTACTTGTTGGATTATATCTATAGCCTTAGACAAAATCTTGTTTTATGAAAAAGAAAATTGATTGGTTTGTTCATTAGTTTTCATAGGAAACCCGATAATTCATAAGTAAAATTGATTAGAAAGAAAGAAGAAAATAAAGAACGAGGAACCACCATTGGTTGGCCCAGCGATCAACTAGGATTCTTGGGTACATTACTCAAGATGTCATAAGTTCGATCCACCTGGGTTACTAATAGAGGTGAACATTGAGGAGATTTACCTAGCTATCAATTTCAAGGCCACAGGAGATTAGTTGAGGTGTACGTAAACTGGTCCGGACATACCCTATTACAAAAAAATAATAATAATAATAATAATAAATAAAGAACAAGGAAACTTAAAATGAGAAAAAATAAATTAGCAATAGATGTTAAGTCTGTGGGTAAATTAATTGAAAATGCTTTCCAACCATAATAAGCTTGCTAACTAACTAACAGAAATTTAATTTATTGACAAGATTTTAAACAAACGATTATTTGGAGCAGAAAATGCTTCTGTACCAGCAATTGTTAGCACTCTCTATCTTTTTTTCTATTTCTTTCTAGTTGGATATCTTTAAGAATTCCTTGTTTTGTGTATCAGCCGCTTCCAAAAACTGTATGACACTATGACCCTTGTGGTAGACATTGTTATAGAGTATGTCACAGATTTGGTAAGCTTTCTTTCCAGATGGTTTTTATCTCTTTCTTCAATAAGATGGCATAGCAGATGTAATATCTCAATTTCCTTTTTTGACAGCCGCATAAAGTACAAGATATTGGTTTAAAGAGGGGATGTTATCAGTTGGGGATTTTCTTCTATATCGAATCAGAAAGCTTTTTGATGTAGAGGAAGAAAAGCTGGCATCAATTGTTGGTATGTGAGACCTGAAATTTTATACGGATGCCATTCGAAGTCATGACAGTTTTCTGATGAAGATTCTTTGTGTTCAAAGAAGGATTACTTTTAATAAATGTGGAGTGAAAAGAGCCTCCTTCCAAGTTTTAATTACCACTGAAATTTGCACAAAAGATTATCTTCACAAGCTTTCAGTTTTTTGCTTTTTTTATCCTCTTTTTTATTACCCTTATAAAACTACCTTGAGCATAAGTGAACGGTCCATGATGATGTCAATTAAAGTGAATTTTTATGTTTAAATGGTTTTATTGTTACTAAATGATGAAATAAATAGATTTCAAATGAGATAATCATCAAGGAAAAATACCCCTTTGTTTTTTGTACCTTAACTTCATTTAGGGTATAGATTCGGTTGATGGAGTTGAGTTATTGCATGTAAGTATTCATCTTAACACTGTGCTCCCAACAGCTAAATCTATTTCATGCTTTTGTATCTCCACTAACTTCAGATGCCTTCCTTTCTTCCTCCCTTCGTTGCTTCAAAGTTGGTTGTGATTACTAATAAATGATTTACACTTTAACTCATTAATCATTCAGGCAATCAGTCACCACTACATCATGGAATGACTTAACATTACTAAATATTGGTTTCATCTACTAAATAAAACATAAATTGGTACAACCTCTCTCCCAGGAGAAACTAGTTCCCCAAAACCTAAATTGGGTACATTTGCGTGTTTCTTCTGTTTCAACACCTACAGAACAAAATGAATGTGAATGTAATGAAATATGAAAACACGTAACATTCATGATTTAACACATGCAAATAGTAGAGATACTACAGCAACGTTAGTTCATGATGAATAATGATGCCTTTGCAATGAATCAGAGAGAAAAAGGGGTACCTTACGAGCTGAAAACAGAACACATAAAGATTCCCCATAAGGTGTTGTCTCCTCAATAACATTTGGAACTTGGTGCTGAAACTCAACTGACCCATTAGAGAAATGGGGAGGTGAAGATGTGGGCAAAGATGAACCTGAAGAGAAAGCAACAGGCTATGGAGTTGCAGGAGATGTCCAGAAAGGCACAGCAGCGAGCCTAACTGGTGAAGTAAAGACAGGAGGGCCATAAGGATTCTGTTTCTCAGATATCTCCAAACCTCTGAGCATGCTTTCAATTGCGGTGGCTTTTTGTTTGCTTGCATGCAACACTTTCCAGACTACGTTCAAAACCTTTATTTAGGGACTTCATTTTTGACAAAAGAAGTCTAGACGAGAGAAAGGTCCTAGAAGATGAACTTCTGTCCATTGCAACTATGGCAAAAGTTCTGTACCTAGGAAGGTTGGAAGAAGCTGAGACATGAGGGGTAAATGACATTTGTCCACCTCTATCACGAAGAGAAGGAGAAGCATGTCACCTGTGCATCCCATCATCCTCTTCATTTATTATCTGTCAAAACCACAATCCCTTTAAACTATGGCCTTACAAATGGTAGTAAGTAAAAACATTCTTTGGAAAAGAACAAACTATATACCCTTTGAATGACCGGATCAAAGGGTGAAAATAAGAAACGGGATCGCTTTGGGCAAGTCTTTGCAAAAAGTCTGTAGCACATTCTTGCAATTGATCGTACCAGTTAAGATTCAAGAATAAAATTACTAACAAAGTAAATAACGAGGCTTCAACCGATATTGCTAGCAACGTAGAGAAAAAGGAAAAAGAACATGATATGAAGTATTTTGGTCAATCAAACAGACAGTATAACAAAGCACGCAGAGACCAGATGCGGGTCTCCAAACATTTTGGAAAAAAAAAAAAAAAAGAAGGAAAATGAAATTTCCAACCAAAATACCTCACTCATTGCATCAGCAACACAACATCTAATAAAATCTTCGTATAGATCAATAGATCTCTGTATTTCTAGAGCATCAGGCCAATGTTCTAATATCAACAAAGCATATTCACAACACCTACAATCCAAAACAAAGATGATTTGAACTACAACATAAAACTGCATCATCAATTCAAAGAAGAGTAGTCAAACCTTGCACGGAGCGTTACATTACGATCATTCTTTGCACAATCAGCAATTATCTGCAGACTCTGCAATTACAAGTACAGTAATCACAACCAACTTGAAAAGAAAACAAAATTAAACTAAAGAAGAAGATGTTAATGGCGGAGGAAGAAGAAGATGGAGAGAAGGAGGAGGGGGGGCTTCGGTTTTGCTAAGAACAAACAGCAATAGGCGGGCCTGTTCCGACAGTAATGGCGGGAGGGAGGGGAGCAATTTCTTTGATTTGGGTTTGTGTTAAAATGCAACAATTTTAGGTTTTTGGGGACAAAATATAATTTTTGAAAGATTACTCAATGCCTTTGTTAATCCTAATTAAGTCATGATTAGTGTTTAATTGTTATTAATTTGTTTTAATAAAAAAATAAGGTCATTTAGTAAAGACTGAAAAATTATATGGCCTTTTAATTAGATTCAAGGCTAATATGGCCTTTTAATCACTTGCCCCAAGGAAATGAGGGTGGAATGTTAAGATATAAAGTGGAACTTTGTTATTGCTGAGTAGACCTGGCAAAACGGGCGGGTGGGCTAGGTACGGGTCACACGGGTACGGGTCTAATACGGGTCAATGTATACGGGTCTAAAATATTGGACCCGTGCCCTATCCTATACGGGTACGGTGGACCCACGGGTGCCCCTTTTTTCTCTCTCCAGGTTTTAGTTTTTACAGTTTCACCTCTAATAGTTTTCAATTATAACAGTTACACCCCCAAAATTCCTGCAGTTATGAAAATTGTACAGGACATTGGAAATAATTCATTACAGAATTCTAAATTTGAACCATGGCTCCAATTTTGTAGCATATGCATAACACATTTATAGAATTCTACTTGTGAAAATAGGCAAACAGCTTCATTTCAAAACCATATTTACAGGGACAACCGGACAGCTATTACTCTAAAAACAGTGCCTGCAAATCTGCAATTCACTAACTCTAAGCACAAAAATCCTCATCATTTACTGTTCATACTTCATACAGACAGAGATTTCACGAATCAACTAAACTATACAAATCTGGAAACCCAACTCACGGATCTTAAAAACAGATCTTGAAACCCAAACATCAAACAAACTGCAGCTTTTCTGGAAGATACAATAAAAACAGATCTTGAAACCCAACTCACGGATCTTGAAAACAAATCTTGAAACCCAAACATCAAACAAGCTGCAGCTTTTCTGGAAGATACAATAAAAACAGATCTTGAAACCCAACTCACGAATCTGCTGCAATGGTGGGGAGAAGAGTTGCAAGTCCTGCGACAGAGAGAGAGAGGAGATGACGAGCCGACGCCCAAGTCCCGAAGACGTGAGAGAGAGGAGATGACCAGAGTGAGGGCTACCGGCGATGGTGGTACTAGGAATGGGAATCATAGATTCGATGAGAGATTGAGAGTTTACAGAATGAATAAATAAGGTTCAGGTGAGGACCATGAGGTATACTGATGATGAATGAGTGATGAGTGATGTAGTGATGAGAGATCGAGAGGCAGGACTGCGGGAGAGAATTGTTATGTTGAAGATGAAAATTTGTTTTAAAGTCTGAGTTAGGGACTTAGCCACTTTAGGGATTTGCCAAAACGGGTACCCGCGGGTGCCCGCGGGTTTACCCATATAACCCCTCAACTATACGGGTTGGGCCGGGTACAGGTAAAAACAAAACGGGTCTAATAAATTGGACCCATACCCTATATTTTCTATCCGGGTATGGACCGACCCGCTAGTCCGAACCCGTTTTGCTAGGTCTATTGCTGAGGGTCCATTTGGTGAGAATTCAAAAATAAATTTTATAACATTTTTGGTAAAAATATAAAAAAGAATTGAAAATTTATTTTATTTCACGATGATTATTAATGTAATACCCTGTATTCTATGAAATTTTATTTGGTGATTTTTGGGGTTAAAGTGTTAGCTTTTAAAAAATTTTGAGAGAGTAAAGTGTAATAGCCAAAACAAGTGAGGATTAAGGTGAAATTTATCAGATATTTTGATGAACAGTGAACAATCCAAGAAAAGAAAAGGGGAGAAGAAGAAAGAGAGGAGAAAGAGGGGAGAAGAAAGAATAGAGAGGGGAGAAGAAAAGAAAAGAGAGAAAGAAGAAAGAAAGGAAGAAGGGAGAAAATGATAGAGACAGGAGTAGAGAACAACGAAGGTGGCTGGAAAAGTGGCCGCGGGCGAGCAAAACTCCTATGATCAGAAAGAGTGAAGGAAGATCAAGCTTATGGGAGGTGAGTAAAGCTTGGAATTTCCCTCTTTGATGAGTTTTAGATCAATTGATTTGTGTTGTTTATAATTGAATACAATGGCATGAGATTAAACTAAAATAGAGAGATTGATTTCAATAATATTATGTGGGTAAAACTTATATGTGTTTCTTAAACAAAATTTGGTTAAAGATGTGATTTTAATACAAGGGTTTACTATACAAAAATCTGACCATCTTGAATTCTTTTGTTTTTTTTGCATGTTTTGGTTCTTTTTTTTTTTTTTTTTTTTTTTTTTTTTTTAAGCTCAATTTCGAATATGTTGTTATAGACTTCTTGAGGAGTGTTTGAAAATTTATTTCACTCAATAACTCAAAGAATTGAATTTTATATGGAATTTTTTAAGTTGCCTTGTGAATTCTAGAATTTTCATTTTCTGCAAAACATGTATTTTTGGAAAATGATTCGATGCATCTATTCTTATCCAAATTGAATGATTTTAAATTCTAGTGAATTCTATATGTGTTTAGTTTAATTCTTGAGAGTTCGTGAAGTTTCAATTAAAGGTTAAATTGTTATGAATTTTACAATTTAGTAACCTCAATTCTAGAAACAGTTGGCAGATTTGAATGAGTTGAAAATAAATTGTGTTTTAAATAGTTATTGATTCTGGAATGACTTGAAAGAATTATGGGAACAACTTATGTGTCTCTAGAATGCCCCATTAAAATTATGGCTTAAATTGATGAATGTAATTTTTATGAAAAATCCGAGAGCAACCGGTGTTCGGTTATGAGACAATTTTGTTAAAGAAGAAGTTAGGTTAATCTTTTGGTGTGTGAAGTGTCCAATGATTTTAATATTGATGTGTTACCTTAGGGGGACTTATGTATGGAGGATTTATCGAATTTTGTATATAGGGAGGCAAGCGGGGGCATTGTTAGAGGATTTGAATCTTTTTTCGGCTTAAGGGTCGAGCTCCAAAATGATGAGTGGGAAAATCTAAAACCCTAACTTTCATTTCAATAAAATTTATCTCTAAATGCTTATTTATATTTGTTTATTGTTTTAAATTAGCTAACATGTTTGATTTCCTTATAGAAATGAGCTTTATTGCAATGTTATTATTGGAAATTGTTAATTGACATGAGAAATATAGAATTTTGATGTTTTTGGGCAATAGTTTGAAAAGAAATGAAAATGGGTTGAAATTCTTAGATTTGAAAACATTTAAGAACTTGCATTTACATTTTTACATTATATGAGATGTTATAAAATTATTATATGTTTATGAGAAAAATGTTTTGAGAATAAGTATAAGATGTTAGTGGCTTTCAAACCATCCTACGTAGTACCCATCCCCCTCATGATATTGACTTAGTTCTACGCATCCTTATGATTGGTCATTTGTTGGCCTAAGTCGGTCGAAGGCTCGAGCGATGCAGATATTGCTACACAGGATTTGATATTGCCGGCTTAAGTGGGTGGAAGGACCGAGCGAGGTAGATATCACTATATATGATTTGATTTTGTTGGCCCAAGTGAGTCGAAGGCTCCAACGAGGCAAATATCACTAGACAAGATTTGATTGTGTTGGCCCAAGCGATGCATGGTCTCGCTGGGTCGAAGGCTAGAACAGTGACTGATTCGCCTAGCAGGATGGATCTAGTGGTTCAACCTATGCAATGTTAGATCTTGCCGGGTTGGACGGATTTACCCCTGGATACTAGTTAGGTGAGAGTTTTCACATGTGATTGAAAGATTATTTGGATATATAAATATATATCATGCAAATGTTATCTGCATATGAAATGTTTTTAGAAATGATATTTTTAGAGAAACATGAGTATTGATTTGTTTACCATAAAAGTTTTCAGAAAGAAGTTTTGCAATGAGAGATTTCAGCATTGGTTATGAAAGATGACTTATATTATAAAATATGTTTATGGAAATGAGATTTTATAAGCATGAATGTTTTATTATATATTGAAATGTTATATTGCATACTATCTCATTCTCCACTTACTGAGCATTTCTAACTCACCCCTCGTTTTTAAATATTTTTCTTTTGCCCCTACCAGGTCAAGAAGGAGAGTGAATCCCACTCAAGGTTGGGCCACACGACTCCATTTCATCATATGTGCATATGTGTCATAGTTGTGTTTTATTTTCCACTGCAAAGTTTATTTTTCTTCATTATGTATTTATTTTTTGTTTTGGATTGTAAAAGATATAGAAGAATCTGATACCATACGTTCATTCTGTAAAAATTCAGTTGCATTTATTTATTTGCAAATAATGTTATATTTATTTGTAAGAAACAAAAATGAGTGTTTATAAATGTTTTAGCCAGAAGAGTTTTATGATGTTTTAATTCATAAACAGGTTTCATAGTTTTCCTACATAGCACGTCTTGGTCACCCAAGTCTCATGGGTGCGCCTGGAGCCTATGGGATAGGGAGGGTCGAGACTGGACGTGTCAATTAAGATTAAAACATTTTGAAAATATTTCTAGTCATTTTAATAAAAAGTATTTTTATAATTTTTTTTTTTTTTATCTCTTATGATTGAAGCTTGATTTTTCTAATCACTCAAAATTAATTTATTGACAAAAAATATTTAAAAAAAATTTATTTGGAACAGAAGATACTTCTATACATGTATCGTTTATTGAAATATTTAACATCAATTTTGCTAATTATATATATATAGTTTTAAAATTCTATATCAAATAAATTCTTTGTGTTTTTCCAGGAAATTTCCTCGATTAAAAAAAATATATACATTTTAGTCAAGTTGTGTCACAAATGCATGTTGGAAATAAAGTTTTTTCTTCTTTTTCTTTTGATAGTAAAATGACCTACCATGTCTCCAAAGTCCTGACATATTAAATGAAATAATGAATAAAGGAGATTAGACTTTACTTTTATTGACATAAGAAATTAATCACGCGCCTCTTTACAAAGACTTGACAAATCAAATGAATAAAGAATATTAAACGCGTTATATGAGTGTGAATGTGATTTTCATTCTCTAACATAAGAGTAAAAATAATATCTGATAACTAAATTTTATATAAATTTAAAATATTTTTAGTTAAAATGTATATCAATAACAATAAGGCTGTGATACATGTCCCCACCCTACGTTTGGCAAACTCAAATTAGTACCCCCGATTTTGGAAACTATCAATGTTTTACCTTCCGTTAATCTTCGTTAAGGATTTTTGCTTTTGATACAGCTACAGGCTTGTAATGACCATATTGCCCTTCTCTATTAAAAAAAAGAAAAATTAACCCAAATCTCATTTTTTTATCAACTATTCATCTTTAATAATATACAAAAAATAATTAGCTACCCATTAATCTTTAATCACAAAATTAATATTAAATCAACTTAATGTTAAACTAATAAAAAAAATCAAATAAAAAAAAAAAAAAAGACCCAGATCATCCATTCAAGGTGATTACAGCAAAATCTTCTACAAAATTTCATCAACCATCTCCCTGTCCTTTCTAATTCAACAAGAAAATCCATCGTCTCATCCGTGTTTATCAAAATTCGTTAACTCAAATCTTTTAGTGCATCCAATTGAAGTGGAATAACAAATTGTTTACACTTGTACAGTTTCAAGGGCCAGCCTATGCTCCTAAACACAGCTCATTGAAGCTCTAAAACTCACAAAACTCCCATGAACTCTACTCTCCAAGACCAGGCCCAGCTCAAGGGGTAGGCAGGTAAGGCACCTGCCTAGGGCCCCCAAAAATAGAGGCTCAAATTTTTTATAATTTTTTTAATATATTAAAAAAAAAATGGTGTATGATTTTTTATCCAAGTCAGGAGGGGAAAAAAAAAAAAAAGCCAAAAAGATCCGAATTTATTATAAATTTTTTACATATATTCCCACCCAAAGTTTGATAAAATAGTAGTTTGTACATCTAGTTTCATATATTCTAATTTACACCCCTAAATTAA